GTCAGATCAGGGACACGTGAACTGTCGTTCACTTAGAGTTTGTATACTCTTGGAAGCCTACTTCCTCAGCGCAAGATGCTGTGTGACCCCGTCACATTAGGTCATGGTGTAAAATACCCACTTGACCACAGGATCAAATACATTGGTCACGTACAGATTATGCCTTGATCAAATAATACTGGCCACACACCAACTTTGACGACTTAATACAGCATGCAGGACAATGCAGAAGGTGATAGCTCGCGACAGCGCACCGCTCAGCGGTTACGACAAGGCACTGACAGTCGATCCAACACAGCCTCCTACCAAGTCCTCGTCAAGTTGCAGCACCGGCTATAAGATTCAATCCTCTCTCTAGTGCGGTCATCCTTAAACGTGTCAATGTATCGCGCTGGTAGATTCAAAGTTGAATATCCATTGCCGCAATTCTAACCTGTAATGGACTTTAAGCTCACTTTCCAAATGGCCTTTGAAGCCACACTACAAGCCAACGTCGACCATGGCACACTCGCGTAAGAAAAGCTGGAGCTTAGCCCAACGTCCTCACCTACATCTCGATCTTCGACACCGCCCAATACAACTGCTACCAGGTCAGCCGCGAACGATCCGTCGGTAATGCTGCCTGTGATAGACAGCAACACGTTGGTGCAGCCCGCATCGATTAGTGCGGCGGTTGGTAGCACTTTCCCCGTGTCATCAGGCGACAACCCGTTTGCAGCCTGTGTGTTCCAACACTCCGCTTGCTGGAAGACTATAACTCTAGCACACATCTAGCTTCATTGATCAATTATCGCGCTCACCTATTCATACGTTTCGACCGTACGGGCATCCCAAAATCTCTCGTTTTGCCGCAGGAACAGAAGCATTTCCAGCGTATACGGCAGCAGAGAGTGCCGTTGCAACCCGAACGTTGTTCGAGCGACGCTGAAAAAGCGCTCGACAACGTTCGAGGTCGGCGGAATCCGACTCAGCAGCTCATAAGCTGGTTGGTACTGCTCCAGGCGGCGATGCTTTCGAAGGCGCTCAACGAACGAGGCTCCCGCCTCGTCGTCATCACCCTGTCGCTCACCTTGCGCAACGGGACTGACGCCAAAAGCCTCCAGCGCCGCCTTTTCACCCCGGGTCAAGCGCAGCGCTTGGCCCTTCAGCAACCGGACACAGCCGGACTCGAACTCTGGCTGTGAACAATTTCAGCTCTTGGAGCTGCATACACAATAAGCATTATTTGACGCCAATAAGTTGTAAATATAAGTAAATATCACTAAATGCACGTACGTACCTAGATAGGTGGAATACGACTCCTTTTTTGCGATGAGACCGTCGAACCACACTCGCACATCAAGCAGGTTGACTTCACCGCCCTGCTGCGCCTTGGATACGGACTCAACGTCCTTCAGCTCACCAAGAAGGTTCTTCAGACGCCTCTTTACCCCGTGCGAGGGCAGCGGCACCGCGAGCTCTTCATCGTCAGCGTCCAGAAACGGGAGGAGCTCGAAAAAACGATTGAGCATGGCAAAAGTGGAACCCCATCGTGTTTGCTGGCGAGTGATTGGTCGGAGACTTGTCTTTAATCTGTTGCATTAAAACAAATCAATTAATACATTTTCGCAAATTTGATATAAAATTACACAAACATCACGAACGTACCGTAGTTCTGCGGATTGTGTCAACGTGCGTAGTTTCAACATTAGGGTCTGGACCAAGTCAAGATCATCTGCATGCTCCTTCAGCTGTGCAGCGACCGCTCGGTTTAGGCGATGGCTAGCACAGCCGATCAGCGGAACGTCCATAAGGGTGGCGAGCCGGCGGTTGACGGAGCAGTT